AGTCACGCCCGACTGCGTGCGACCCTGTGGACTGTACTCGCCAGGCTCCTCTGGCCACGGAATTCCCCAGGCAGTGGACTGTGAATGGATTCTCCAGTGGCGTGGGTTGCCATTCCCTCCTCCAGGGAATCATCCCGATGGTACAAATGCGTAAACAGAGTAGGCCTCATTCCAGGACGCACGTTATCATCTGCCTTATAATGATTTGAAGGCGCTAAGTGCATTTAAAGTGGTACCAAAAACCCCTGAATGAAACGGACCTAAAACAACACTCCCTGTGTGTGATGATGACACAGGTGTCCTGCTGAACAACAGAAAGCAGACAAGACTGTAAACTGTGACGTTAAAACCGAGAAAAGGGCAAAATTGAGTACTGCCAAGTACTCAAATGCAGAGGACTTGATTCTGTACTCTGTCTTACGGTTTTAAAATTCTTGTCTAGGTTTACTGAAAAACAGAACGACAATTATCCAGCTGATGGGCCAGTTAGTAGCTGAACAATCAAGAGTGATGATGAAAATGAAAACGCTTCATTCCTTGGCCAGCAGGTGTCACTTGTCACTCGGTATAGAAAACAGCAGGTGATGAGCAATGAGGGGAAACGCACAGTGAGCAACACGCATTCATCTATTCAGAAGGAGCAGAATGGGCTGCTTCGGAAGCACAATTTATAAAGTGGTTCTTGGCTTGCTGACACAACACATCAATTACATCTTGGATTTGAGCCCTCCTACTAGGTTTATGAACTTATACATTTCTCTTAACAAATATGATTTGCATTACATCAGCTTGTTGCCTTTGTAAATGTTTTCATATCCTTTTTGACTGTATTTATCATATGAGATTGTGAGCAGATTGTGTTGGATTTAGGCAAAAAGGAAACCAAAGTTAACTTCACCATTTAAAGATGTATGAGTGATTCAACTTACTGAACTGCTCTGAAATTCACTCTCCTTCTGATGTTTTAATTGTTATACCTGTAATGTGAGGAGTAAATACGATACCACTTGTGGAAATGATAGTAGCTTTGAACAAACATGTTTAATTTTCTCCTAGAGGACAAGATCTAATCACTGAGGTACCTCTTCTACCAGCATTTTCTGACCCACTGTGAATTTTCTCTCACTAGGGCATCCTGCAGTGGGGCACCAAGAATCTAGACTTTGTCACTCTGCATACCAGCAGTATGTATAAAGCCTGGAGAAGACACTGCAGCCACTGATTTACGATACTAGTACCACCCTTCCTACCATTATTCCAACCTCCCTGGCTGTCAGTGACACAAAACCAAGAACCACAGAATCTAAGATCCTGAAAGGCTTCTGATTTACCAAGTCAACTCTTAGTTTTCCAGATTAGGAGTCCTTCTGCCATTAAAATGGAAATGCAAGAGAGTAAGAAATGAGGCATGCAGATTTGGGCCACTGTTACGTCTGCTCCCCAGATTTAATCAATGAGTAAGTGAACACTGGTATTCAGAGGCAGGAAGAGAGTGCAGGAGGTGGGCAAACCATGACTTCATGGCACGTAACTCATTGTTTCCTGATATTGAGAGAATGGGCACTGCTGGTAGATACGGTGGAATAACGGTAATACACTAGCCATTACTTGAACTTCCAGTGGAGTCTATCCCACACCTGAATCGTGTGTGCGGAACCTGAATGGCACCAATGCCCTGTTTTTCTGACTTTTCCACCCTTCCTATGTCATGGTCTAACAGCACTTCTTCTAAAAAGCAGTCAGGAACAAAGTAAATTCTCATTGAATATCGGATGGCTTTGAGTCTCTTTTTCTGGCATCAGGTAGCTATCACCAAATTAGCCTTTGAATACTTTCATAAATAATTTTTGTGAAAGGGGAACTGAGCTCACCTTTCAGAGGTCCTCTATTTAGTAATCACCATAACTTATGACGACTTATACAGTTTTTAAAAGACAAGTATGTCACAGAAATGCTGAGTTTATTTTTAAAACTACGTAGGCTTAGCATGTAATTTAAAAGACGGGTTCCATGAAGGAAAAAGCCCGTGCTCATCTCCAAGTCTTCGTTCATAATGTTCTTCTCACCTAGAATGCCCCGTTCTTCCCCTTCATTTACCCTAAAGAGACTTTAAGATACAAGCTGTGTCACTTCCTCTATGAAACGTTTTTGAACGAAGCTGCCCTCCCCATCTCCTTGTGATAAACTTCTGATTTAGTTTCAGCTATGGTAAAGAATTTGCCTGCCATTCGGGAGACCTGGGTTCGATCGCTGGGCTGGGACGATCCCCTGGAGGAGGCACGGCACCCACTCCAGCACTCTTGCCTGGAGAACCCCAGGGACCGAGGAGCCTGGTGGGCCGCCGTCCACGGGGTCACACAGAGTCGGACGCGACTGAGCGACACGACAGCGCAGCACGCGGTCAGACAAGTGCCGAACTAGGACTGGTTCACAGAGGCTGTTAATCTTCAGACAGCTGTCAGACTGGGTCCTCGAAGGGCCTGTATTTATCCAAGGTCATGTTTTATTTCATGATTCGACAACTATTTGTCGAAAACCACTACATGCCAGGCGGTGTTTCTGGTAACAGAGACAGTGAGCAAAACCCAAACTATCCTTGCAATCATGGGGCTTACACTCCGGTGTCAGAGTTACTCCATTCCCCCATGCCAAGCGCAGGGCAGATACGGGGGCACGTAGGTGTTTAACGACCACCTCAAAATCATGCCAGCAGCAGAGGGATGGATAGAGAAGACGTGGTACGTGTCTACAGCGGAATATTACTCAGCCACAAAAAATAAAGAGATAATCCCATTGGCAGCAACCTGGATGGGCCTAGAGACTGTCATACTGACTGAAGTAAGCCAGATAGAAAAGGGCAAATATATATGATTTTGCTTATGTGTGGAATCTAAAAAAAAGAGGTGTACATGTTATTGACAAATCGGAAGTAGAGCCATGGATATAGCAAATAAACTTATGGTTACTAGAGGATACGGGGCAGGGAGGATGAACTGCATGACTGGGATTGACGTATACACACTACTATACATAAAACAGACCACTAATGAGAATCTACGGAATAGCATAGGAACCTCCACTCAACACTCTGTGATGTCCTATGTGGAAATAGATCTTACAGACAGCGGACACGTGGATACATTTGATTGATTCACTTTGCTGTGCAGTAGAAACTAACACAATATTCTAATTCAACTAGACTCCGATGAAAAAAATTAACTGCTGCCCATGGTTAGGTGGACCCTAACCAAGCTTCTCCTTGATTACCACAAAAACCGGGTCAGTTAAGGACCCTGAACCCTGGAAGCGTGTTAAAGACGTGAGGACTGTTTTCACAAAAGCAGGCGAGGGGAAGATGATGAGGAGTCTTCATGTCCTTTGAACTGTTTGGAGTAGGCTTCTATTTAGGTACTGATAAACTTTTTTGTTTATATCTGAAACAGACTGAATCTATAAACCTGGCTAAATTTTTTATGAAAAAAAACAACTACCAAGAGGAATAAGTAGAATGGATGGCTCAAGTCTGTTATTCCATCAGCCTCCATCAAAATCTCTACCTTGATGATGAATAAAACATCCAATCCTAAAAAGAAAAAGGTAATTAAGACTTCATGACTGACACTCACTATCCAAGGGTCAGTGCTGACCTCTATAGGAAAAAATATCCAGAGACTGCAATGAAGATAAAACCAGTTCAAGATGTGCTGAATGCCTTCACAAAAACACAAGGGGTGGTAAGCAAAATAAGAAGTAACATGAATAAAGATATTTAACATTGAAAGCTTTTTCACATAACTGCTTATTAAAATAACAACCAGTGATGATATCTTTATGTCTGACCTGTTATAAAACCCAAAAGCAGACACTCTTAAGATATGTAAAAAGTTGAGCAACTTTGAGAACTGAAGACTGGTTAGGTGAATATGTTTCCAAATGACTTCCACTCTCTTCCCCAAAGAAACTCTGAGACTTCAGGCTAAAAGGGGACAGTCAGTGTTTGCTGACTGTGACCCCAGGTGAAGGCTGACCTGCATGGCAGATCCCCAGCAAAACCAGAGAGGTAAGAAGATGAAGCTGGGGTAGAAAAGAAAGTTTATTTTCCATGAACCCAGGAGTACACACATAATAATCAGGTAGTAAGACTGAGTGCCTTAACTCCCAATTCAGGAAGGGAATTTTCTACTCAAATGAGCATTTTATTTCCTGACATCCACACAAGAGTCAACACATTTGGACATATGCTGCTGACCTCCTCAATTTCTATTTGAGGAACTTGACAGGCAACACAATTAAAAAATGCTGAACTTGGGTGCTAAATCTATACAAAGGGATGCAATTACTTTACCAGTTAAGAGATTAAAACAGTAATTCTGCACGCCACTTTTTCTTTCACTTGCAATTGTCATGGTTATCTACATTTACTAATACTGTTTTATTTATTGAATTTTCTTAACAATTAAATAAGAATTTAAATTTCTGTATTAATGGCTAATATTTTTTAAAAGAATAACTCTTTACCTCAAAACATCTACCCTCAGGGAAGAAGCCTAATGAGATAAAAAGAGCATAATCTTTGTAGTCATACACACCTAATGAGATAAAAAGAGCATAATCTTTGTAGTCATACACATAAATCTTTGTAGTCAAACCTGACTCTGTGGCCTTTGACATACTGGCCGACCTCTACAAGGCTGGACGCACACCCTAGAATGGAAATATATTCCCCTATTTCTCACAGACTGTTGTGGAGATGGACTTAGATTATCACATATAAAAATATAGTATTATTTGAAGAAGTCCTTTCCCTTTCTGGATCCCTGGAGTACCTGTGATCACCTCTAGAACAGCCCTTAGATCCAAAATGACAATGAGGTGACAAATAAAGGAGAAAAAAAGAGGCTACACATTTACTTGGGTAAACCACTTTAGTCAATCTGTATGCATGAAATCAACAGCTCAAGAATCTGGGTAGCTTTTGGAAAGAATTACTGACAGCTCACCTGTTGACGCAGTTCCACCAGTCGATTTTGACACCTCTGGACTGACTCTTGAAGCCGCTTGTCTTTCTCATTTTTGGATTGTGATTCTGTGCTCGTAGTACCCAGGGGTATGGAAGGTAGATGTTCTGCCTGATGACAACTTTTCACAATCAAGTACAAGAGAGAACATCAGGAAGAAATATAAAACTATTTACTAACTGCAAAAGGCTATTTACTTTGACAAGGAATTGTCTCTGGCTTACACCCAAAACTCAAATACAGCATTGCTCACATACAGTATTATATTGAGAATTTAGGTAATACATTAAATCTCCACTTTTCTTGGAAAGGAACTTAATGGAAGATGTGGAGGGTACTATAGATTTACAAGAAAGGGAGAATATTCATTATTTACTAACGTTTCATTTATCCTGAGTTATCACCAAATGAGAACTTTTGCAAAAATGTGTTTTAGATAACTGAAGCTTAATTCATTACTACCATGCATTATTCTTTTCCAAAAAAAATCTGGGATAGAAATCTGTGGTGGTGGTTTAATCGCTCAGTCGTGTCCAACTCTTTGTGACCCCATGGACTGTAGCTCTCCAGGCTCCTCTGTCCATGGAATTCTCCAGTCAAGAATAGTGGAGTGGGTTGCCATTTCCTTCTCCAATATGTCTCTGTAAAATACACCAAATAATTCTGCTTTGGAGGCACACACATCCCTCTTTGAGGACTGAGACTCCCTGTGAAGACCGGTGGCCACTGTGACGGGAGGCAGCACCTGAGATCACCTCGGAGTCTACGGGGCCACATGGCGGAGCCCCATCGAGCGTCCAGCACCCCACCTTCCTCTCCCTGCTGCTGGAGGCGCGCCAGCTGCTTGGGGGCTCTCAGCCTCCTAGCCTGACTGATGGGCTGTCTCCAGTCACCAGTGGGCTAGTACATGCGTTACATAATCAAGCAGAATTGTCTACAACTTGCAATAAACAGGCTGTGCCTGAGGGCTTCTGTCTTTATGGTTACAAAGAATACTAATGATTTTTGAGACATATGCTTGGGAAGGTTTGAGGCCTTTTTTCTGCCCTACTTCTGGTTTCATGGCTATGTTCTGGGGAGCTGAGCTAGCCACACTGCTGAAAAATTGAGATACCATCTTATTTTCACTTTGGTACGGAGGCCTGGCAAGGACAAGAAGTTCCATTCTCATTGGACATGGCCTCAATCCAGGGCATGGCTGAGGACATGCAATGTGGGAAGGGGGTACAGAATGCTGAAGTTTGATTCTCAAAGCCTTACACAAGAGTTTTCTACCACTGGTAGGTACCAAAAAGAGGGGGAAGTGCGTGTCATAGAATACACGGGTGCTAAGCTAGGAAAGGCAGGAGGAGGTTGAGAATAGAGAGAAGGGCTTCTTCAATCTGAAACAGTGCAGGGAAAGCTAAGCATCTCACTCCCACTATATTTCTCTACTTCCCAGGGTTCAGCATATATTTTTCTTGCCCCCACCAACAGAGAAGAGTGAGGACTACAATCAAATTCAAGTACTGCTGTGAAAAAACACTTAATTCCACCCACATATGGTATTTGTTTTTATTGTTATTTTCAAAGAAAGGTGATAGATAAATCAGGGGGACACCTACCTACATATATATATATATATATAAAACACCACATGCAGTGTTCAACTGAAGACATCTGTGGGATAGTACCCACACAGGTTTCTATTTCATTTGAGAAAAGAACCGTGTGGTAACATTAAGCTTTTATTTAGAAAAGAAAAACCTCAATTAATTAAAATGCAATCTGTTTGATTGTCCTCTAAGATTTTTATAAACAAACTAAATCTTAATATGCAATATAACCCATATTTTAAATATTTTTAAATATCCTTTCCAAAACTCAGACTTTTGGGTCTAGTCAAATGATAGGTATCATTTTTACCCTGCTGGTGATCCCTGTTCTAATATACACAAATACATAGAATGAATGTAATGGAAACACACTGATATTTATTTCTTGGGTACTGTGACCAAAATGCGTAGCCTCCCTCTGTGCTCAAGGTGGAAAACAAACAAACAAAAAGTGACTTGGGAAAGAATGACTCCATCTTAAGCTGCCTGAGTAACCAACACAGAACACTATTATTTGTAAAATGGTATGTTTTACCACCATAACATGTTTGTGTGGAATTAGGCTTCCTGAGCTAAGGATCCCTACAGAGTGTGGGGAGCAGTAAGGCAGAAAGAGCACACGTTTTGAATCCAAGTGCTTGGAGTCCAGTTTCAGGCTTAGGGAGGAATCGTGGACAGGTCCCTGAGCCTCCCTTAGCTCCACCGTTTTCTCCTCTGAGAAATGGAGATGCTCACATGCTTATTGTACTGAGAAGACATAACATGCAACTGCAATGTAAGAGGGAGCTATTATTATGTTTCCTGTCCCAGTTCTGGTTACACAGACATTGTTCATTCAAACGCTGTTCATTGGCTTTAACCCTGCTGACAATTGGCAATTAACTGCTGACAATAAACTGCATTTTCTGTAAATACAGATGATGCCACTTTTCACCCCATATTGCTATCCTTTTACTCATCCAGTATTGCCTAAAAAATAACTATACTTCCCTTCTCGTCACTTTAACACACATTTTATCCAAGTCCAACAGTGCATATACATATCAGAGTTTTGCTATTTCATGGCAGAGTCTCAAAGTATGCATGGTCCATTTAAACATACTGAATCAGATGACTGAATGAGATCATCATATCAACATCTCTTTCCATGGGCATCTTCATCTGCATTGCTGTTGATAATCTTCCTTAAAGGAAGTATCTACTTTCAAGTAACTGCCCTTATAATCAAGAGTTTTTCTCCATAGCTCCCATTTCTAAATCTCTTGCTATCACTTTAAGCATTGTTTTTTCCCCTCATCTTTTCAGTGGAAATGAAATGCAGATGGTCAAAATTATGTCAGTATATTTAAAGAATCAAGGACTTAAGAAATTATAAATATAAGACTTTTTGCATTTCAGGCTTTTAAGGGCCATCCGTTTTCTGTGAACATGGCAAATTTATCTTGCCTGTCATCAGAAATGGCAGTGTTTTGATGTATAGAAGAGACAGAATTAGTATGGCTTTGAAACTAATTTTATAACACTCAGTGATGGCATCACCACTTTTCAAGGAGAAGGGACAAGCATGTCAATTCAGGGATAATGGTTAGCTGGAGAAGAGGGAATCTATGGAGGTCAGATCCCATTCTGTGGATCTGAGACGGCCTAAGGCTGGAGTGAGACATAGACATATGGCTAAAATATAACGGGGAGAAAAGTGAAAGTGGTGTCGTTGCTCAGTCGTGTCCGACTCTTTGTGATCCCGTGGACTGTAGCCCGCCAGGCTCCTCTGTCCGTAGAATTCTCCAGGCAAGAATACTGGAGTGGGTTGCCATTCCCTTCTCCAGGGGATCTTCCAGCCCAGGTCTCTTGCATTGCAGGCAGATTCTTTGCCATCTGAGCCACCAGGGGAATCTAAGTTCTCATGACTTATTACTAAGGGGCCCCCAGTGACCAGGGACTTAAGACTGTCCTTAACAAGGGGTTCAGCTGGACCTAGAAAAGATACAGAGGGTACTATTACTGCACTCTATTTTAGGTGATGGGAAGATGAGTTAGAGAGGTTTTATCGTTTGTCCAAGGCTTCACAGGCCAAAGGAGCCAGGAGTCAAACCTAGGCAGTCTGGCCCCAGAGTCTGAACTTTAAACACTATCCTACACTGCATGAAAGTTTTAAGCTCACAGAAAGTGATCGATATTATCACTTTTTGGGGGGACAGTTGCGGGGTGGGACCAATTTTATTTACATTTCCAAGCACAAGTCTTTCCACAGAGAAATTTAAAAAACAAAACCAAAACAACAAAAAAATTCTTTTAAACAACACATAGGTGAAAATAATGACAGTAACAATGAAAACACTACCATCAGACCACTGAACCACTGCTGAGTTCCTACTGGGAGACAGTCAAGTAGCAGGTTAGGGCTAGAATCAGGCTGGCAGTCAGAAGATCACGGCCAGCAGCTGCATAAACAGTCTTCTCAGCCCCTGTTTGGGCTTCAATTTCCACTTCTCTTAAATGAAGAAGTGAGTCTAGATCGGTGCTTTATAATCATGCTCCCTGGAGCTCTAGGCTTTTTACAGAGAGCAGGAGACAGAAATGAGAAGTAGATATCTCTGGCCCCAAGATTCTCAGCCTCCAATTCAATCAGGACAGTTCTGTTTTTATCTGCTTTATATACCTGAGGTCAGAGACAAATTTTATTTGGGGATTTAAAAAAGAAAAAGGTTCTGCTGCAAACCAAGAAAAGGAGACTGAAAAACCCCTTGGGCCATGTGAAATCTAAGAGCCCTATCACCTATGACATTTTTCATTAATCTCTAAATATGATTAACTTGAAGACTCCAGGTTGAAGAGGTTTTAGAAGCAGTTTCTAAATGTTTTCTTCCTTCTTATTTTTTTTTCAATTGCTCTTTTTTTCAGGGCTGGATAAAAATAAATAAGAATTATTACCCTAATGTCTGTATTAGCAATATTGATCCACTCATCCAGGTCAAAGAACTTAGAATAAACTCTATGGAAAAGTGATGCTTCACTTAAGGGTGCCTCTGTTAAACGGGCGCATTAACTCTTTAGCCCACAAGGAAAAGAAGTCAGTCAAAAAGGGTTTGCAATAACGTTGACATCCATCAATATTTAATTGACCTTTTTCCTGTTTTAGTCTGAAGTTCTTCCTCCAAAAGCACAAAGCAATGAAATCAATATATGACTTAAACAGAAAAAGCACATGGTCTAACACTTAAGTATCTAGATAAGACTCCTACATTGTAAGATTGTGCATCACGTGAAAATGAACTGGAAGGCAGAGCTTGAATACTGAGGTAAGGTCTTCCGCCAGTGGGAGTGCAGAGCTGCACACCCAACATTAACAAAAACTTACACCCACGTGTCTTTTAACTTGATGGAAAAGAGCACTAATGGAATATCGTTCTGGAGGGGTGGCAATAGGCTAGAAAGAGTTAGAACGGATGACAGCTACTAAGCTGAAATTTATCTATGGCTGACATTTTTCAGCTTCATACATATAAATTATAGGAATTAAAAATGGAAAAAGAATTTTAGAAAACTATCAAAAACTACCTGTTTTCCGAGCGGTTAGGGTTATTAGCACAAATCCAGATGTCAAAGAATTCTTTTTCCTGATAATCAGTAGAAGGAGGTAAGACTCTCCATTTAAGGCAAAGATCTAAAATCATCAAAACAAAAACATACAAGAAAGACCACAATCAGAAGTGAATCTACCATAGTAAGTTGTCAGGCTGTATATACCAAAAGTATGAAGCTATCTTTCAGTCCAAAGATAATTGAATTCTTGACCATATACCATTATATATGATGGCACAAACAGTCCAGGATTCTGAGCTACCTAGGACACCATCGATAAATTATTATTGTTGCTGACATTATTATTATTACTGCCATCATTGCTTAAGTTCTTTCCAGTTGGTTTCTACTGGTTCCAGCCAAAAGAATATGAAGTAATAGGCCCCTCTTCACCTTTTCTTAAGCCACAGGAAGGCATCCAGGCTGACTCTTCCCTTTTTTCTGACCCACCATTTATCTGCCAACACTACCGTCCATCTCCACCCACAAGACTAAGATAAGAAGGAAAATCAAACCCCAGCATTTACACGGTTCCTTGTTCTGATTTTGTAGAGCTCTTACTCTGCTCTCCAGCCTACAATTCGTGACTTCTCTGTCTCTTTCCCTCTTTCAGCCCTCCCCGTTTTCAGGCACTCCACTCTGGGCCGGCTACTCCTCACTCGAATCCTGACGCCCCTCCACACCCTTTGCTAGTGGCTCTTGGGTAAATACTTCTTTCTGTTCATCTAAAATGGAGGCAATCTGCACAGTGGTTAAGAATACGAATAGTTTACCTACCTACCAAAAGGGGTTCCTGAGGTTTATAAGATATAATCATAATGATTAAAAAGACAACATTAGTAGCCATTTGTGATGGTTAATTTTACATGTCAATTTTTCAGGGCCATTGGGTACCTGGGTATTTGGTCAAACATTATTCTGACTGTGTCTGTGCTTTGGATTAGATTAACACTTGAGTTGGTAGGATGAATAAAGCAGATTATCTTTCCTAATATGGTGGGCCTCAACAAATCAGTTAAAGGCTTGAATAGGGGAAAAAGTTGATCCTCTTGCAAATAAGAGATTTCTTTCTGTCTTGAACCGAGACATCAGTTTTTCCTATCTCCAAACTAGAACTAAACATCAGTTCTTCTTGGGTATCAAATCTGTCAATATTTAGATTGGAACTATATTATCAGGCCTCCTAGTTCTCAGGCCTTAAAACTCTGGAATTAAACCAATGGCTCTCCCAGGTCTTTAGCTTGCTGACTAAGATCTTGGGACTTGTAAGCCTCCTCAATCATCTAAGCCAATTCCCTATGATTAATATCTATCTATCCTCTTGGTTCTCTTTCTCTGGAGAACCATAATACACTATCCTAAGCACTGAATAAAATCTACTTGTTAATTAATTGTATTTTCACAAAATTTCATAATGTAACTACAAATACTAACTTCATTTTATAAAAAAGAAAGTCAAAGCTTAGAGAAGTTAAGAAATGTGCCTAATTTCACCTAGCTTTCAGGTACTAGAGATTGGATTCTGGCAATAAGCTGCACATACCAAATACACAGTCATTTTTAACCAGTAATATATCATCTGACAGGTTGTTGCATATAGTCATCAATTTTCTCAATTGTACCTTCTAAGTGCCTCTCATATGTATTCCTCTTAAATCGCACTGCCACACCTTTATTCAGACCCGTGTAATTCGTCACCTGGATCCTGGATTGTGCCGGAAGTCTGTCCGCAGAGGTATGACCCTAACCTTTGCTTTAGGCCTTCTCCAAATCACCTTGCACCGAGCTGCCAGAGCAACCTCACTACCAGTGACACCTAACCAGGCAGGTCCCCTTTGGACCACGCAGGCTAAGGCTGGGGAGCTGCTCCCTTGTTGTTCGGTTGCTAACTCACGTCCAGCTCTTTGGGACCCCATGACGAGCAGCAGGCCAGGCTCCCTTGTCCTTCACTGTTTCCCAAAGCGTGCTCAAATTCATGTCCAAGGGGTTCCCTTGGCCCTGTGTAAGGAGCTACAGTGTGATTTTTTTTTTGTTTGCTTGACTGCTTCCCCCACTGGATAACAGATTCCCTGCAGACAACGGAGACCCATAATAAGTGCTCAATGCTTCAGTGATATTTCTCTCCTTTTGAAAAACTTCCAATGCCTCTCCATTGCTGATTAAAGTTAAAACCCCTTATCCTGGCATTCAAGGCCATTGAACATGTTCACACAACCTAATAATTTTATCTGTTATTATTTACTCATTATTGATTCACTCAGTAGTCAGTTGCTAAGTATCTACTATTATTTAACACAGTGTTAAGTATTAAAAATAGGAAAATGACTGTTTCTATTATTCACCACAGTAATATTAGCTGAAGGGCACACTATATATTAACACTATTTCCAACTATACCTCCGCTTTCAAAACCTGACTTTAAAGGCCACGGCAAAGGCTACCTTGTCATGAAGACTTGCTTCAATTTTCTCCCTTCCCTTTCTTTGAAACCTCAAAGAATTGTGGGTCTCTTTGACATCATTTACATTATTTTCACCTCTATTACAATTATTTTCATGCTCATCTTAACCTTTCTCCTAGATCTTAATCTCTTGGAAAGCAAGAACCCTGTCTTATTTCATCTTTGTCTTTCTTCTTCTTATCTTTTTTTTTTAACACAGTGACTTGCAATATTAATATTAATACTGAAAGTTTGCTAACTTGAATGGAATTTAACACTCACCACACTGAATCATGCATGGGATGGCCCTGGCTTGTCTTCTTTGATACTGAATAGAATCTGAAGATTCTTCCATGTCCTTATTACCTTGGTATCCAAATTCATTCCAAAATAATGTTAGATTTCTGTTACCTTGAAAAAAAGAATAAAAAAAAGGCAGGAAGAAAATAATGAAAGAAAATAAAACCAATAAGATCAAGATGATAAGTAAAGGGAAATTTAGATATAAACACATGCACATATAATATGATTTCAAATATGCAAAAACTAATAACATATAAAAACAAGGGATTAAGATGTTTAACACTAGTTTTCTTTGAGTATGGATGAAACTGGTTTTCCACTTTATACTTTCTTGCATTTTTCCAAACTATATACAATAGACATGCATTATATTTATAATAAAACTAACCACAATTATAGTTATAAAATATATCTGTACTTTTATTGTTATGATAAAATACACTGACATTTAAAATGTTTTTCTTAAATACTCCTAGGAGGGACTGGACTGATTACAAAGCCACCCTTAAGAGCAGTGGTACAAATATTCATCATCTTGCTTCACATCCAGTTTCTGTTTGATCTCTGGCTCCCTTTTCTTTCAGGCTCTGCTGTTTATGCCCCACCCATGCCCCAGATTCTAAACTGCTTCCTTGTTTAGAAACAGCACTTGTCACGGAGGTCTTTCAGGCATCCTCCTTAAGAGGCTGTGTTCTTATCCACGGATCCAGCAATAGAACTGTTAGGAATCTTTCCTACAAAACATACAGCGCAATGGCCATGTATATGAGAGCGTTGTATGAACAGGAAAACAAAACGAAAAGCCCTGGAGACAAAGCGAAAGCCTGGAATTGTTCGGTCACTAGGTTGTGCCCGACTCTGTTATGCAGCCAGCCAGGCTCTCTGTCCATGGGGTTTCCCAGGCAAGAATACTGGAGTGGCTGCCATCTCCTTCTCCACCAGGGATCAAACCCATGGCTCCTGCATTGGCAGGTAGGTGGATTCTTAGGGAACTGATAAATCCCATTTTCAAACAAGGGGACACTAGGCAACCTTTAAAATAGAAAGTTAGAGCTAAATATATTATTGTGTCAAGACCTCCAAGACAGAGTTTTAATAAAAATTTTTTAAAAGATATAAAACAGAAAATCTAGTATAATCAACTTTTGTAATGTAAAAAAAGAGTATACATATAAAATGTTGATAGACATGCTTTTCTTTTCCTAAAAGGATACAAAAGAAAGTTTTAATAGTGGATACTTCTGGAAAAAGGATAGAGAGAGAGAGGAAGGCAGGGAAAGGTACTTTTAATTTTCATTTTTTACTTTCTGAACCCTTGAGTATTTTTAACATGTTTATTTATTACTTTAAAAATACTTTTTTGAAAAAGAATCCAAATTTAACATTCTGTCCAATATGGCAGTCAACTGGTCACATGTAGCTACTGAGTGCTTGAAATGAGGAAGACACAGAACATTTCATCCAAGTATAAGGTTCAAAAAGTAAGGTTCTAAAATACATACCTTGGAAATAAAATATATAAAATAGGGCCAGCTTTATAGCAACCTTAATATATGACCAAGTAATCCAAGCAAAACCCCAATAAACACCTCTACACTTTCCTACACCTGTTAAGATTTAGGTTCAGAATGTCATATGCCTTTAAGACCAGCAGGGAAGGGACTCAGTCTTGAAAAGGTGCTTTGCAGTTGGATGGGTGGACAACTGCCCCACAAACTCCCTGGTCTCCTACCTTGTCTTCACAAAATCTCTACCAGTTCTTGTCTAAATTTCCCTTTGAATTCTGCTTCCTTGGCTTCCCTCAACTCAGCCCTGCAGTTTTCCGCTTTTTGCTCAGCATGTGGTTTTGGGCCAGCCCAGACCTCACTCTTGCACCGCACACCAGAGCCGGGTACACCTATGGTGTCTGGAAAGGACTCCTGAGATCCTGTTCGCTGACTTCCACAAGAACGACTCAGTTCTTGCTAGGTCAGGGCAGAAGGAGCTGCAGATTAAAGTCAGGGGACTTTGAGTGCTGTCTCCACCACACACTCATTGGGTAACTGGGGGAGCCAGTAAAGTTTCTTACCCACAAAATGAGTGTCCACTTTAACATGCCTTACATGGTTATCACTGAGAATAAACATGACGGTGCATTAAAAATTATAGTGCTGTGCAGAAACTTCAGCTGCTGCTGTATCGTATTTGTTCTCTCTAAATGTTACTCTTCCCCAAGAACACCTCACCTTCTCAAAAGAGGGACTGTGTTTATTAGGTGCTGTGCCCTGGACCTAAGAAATCCGCAAGAAGCTTTGCTGCCTTCTCAACAACACAGCACCTTAACATGCTCTTGGGATAAAATCAAAGTGAAACAATGTCTCTCCCTGAAAACACTGACTCGACACAGCTAACACAACCCAGCAAACTCATAAAACAAGTATCGACTGTGAAGCCCGACATAAACATCTCAAGAGCAGGAAGACTACTAGGTGTTAGAAACGCAAGCACATGCCTCTCGAGGATGGGTGACACCTGCTCTGTGATCGTATGGCTCTCACAACGCTCACACATTGTATCCAGTCCACTTCATGCCTATTGTCCCTCTCAACAGCGAAATTCTTACAGAGAATGGCTGTTTAGGATCCTGTTTTCACTAGCTGCCACTCAGAGCTTAACGTTTACTTATAAAACTGAATAATTCTCAGGAATTACTGGCCATTGGTGGCATGAGAACACTCAGTAGCCCAACATCTAATGTCCAGGGCTGACAGAGGACACGCCATTTGAAGTCAGTATCAGGACGAAAGAAACAACCAGCTATGTTCAATCTGGGAATCAGAAATAGTTTTCCCTGATTGCCAAGGCAATCTTGACTTTTTTCCCCATCAGACAGAAGCTATGCCAATATGCACAGTTTCTAACGTGTTAATAAAACAAATTTCCATTGAATGAGCCCTGAAGACTATTAGAGGCTTCAGCAAGTGGGTAAGTTGGCTAAAGAAATGGCCATGGGAGGAAACATACCACAAAATGTTTTTCACATGTTCCTCAGTCTACAGAGATTTACACAACTATCCTGAGGGGGAAAAAAGAATTTCTCCCATACAAGAAAATCACCCCAAAAGGCTATCAGTGGATTTTCAGTAGAAACCTTACAGATGATGAGAGAGTGGTATGATATAATCAAAGCACCAAAAGGAGAAATAAAAACCTGCCAACCAAGGATACATTACCAATACTGAAGCTGTCCTTCAGAAATGAGGTAGAGATAAAGAATTTCCAAAACAAACAAAATTGAGGGAGTTCACTACTAGTTCTGCCTTACAAGAAATGCTATAGGAAATTCTTCAAGCTGAGAAGAAAGGAAACTAGTAACTTAAAAATGAGAAAATACAAAACTCACTGGTAAGGGTAAGTATACAGTCAAATTCATAATACTCTAATTCGGTAATGATAGTGTGTAAGTCACTTAACTCTAGTATTAATATGAAGGTTAAAAGACAAGGTTTAAAAAACAACCATAGCTACAATAATTTCTTAATGAACACAATATTAAAATATGTAAGTTGTGAAATCAGTCATTTAGTTCAGTCACTCAGTTGCGTCCGACTCTTTGCGACCCCATGGACTGTAGCATGCCAGGCTTCCCTGTCCATCACCAACTCCCAGAACTTAATCAAACTCATGACTGTTGAGTCAGTGATGCCATGCAACCATCTCATCCTCTGTCATCCCTTTCTCCTCCTGCCTTCAATATTTCCCAGGATCAGGGTCTTCTCCAAGGAGTCAGTTCTTTGCATCAGGTGGCCAAAGTACTGGAGTTTCAGCTTCAACATCAGTCCTTCCAATGAACACTCAGGACTGATTTCCTTTAGGATGGACTGGTTGGGTCTTCTCTCAGTCCAAGGGACTCTCAAGAGTCTTCTTCAACACCACAGTTCGAAAGCATCAATTCTTTGGCGCTTAGCTTTCTTTATAGTCCAACTCTCACATCCATACATGACTACTGGTCATGTATGGTCTAGTCTAACCACAGCTTTGACTAGACAGACCTTTGCTGGCAAAGTAAAAACATAAAATGTTTGTAGGGGGAGGGAGTAAAAAGGTTTTTCTATGTGAATGAAGTTAAGTTGTTGTAAACTTAAAATAGACTGTTATAACATGTTCTACACTTATAGTTTCATAACCACAGAGCAGAAATCTACAGCAGATGTGCAAAAGAGAACGAGAAAGGAGTCAAAGCACAGCACTACAGGAAATGATCGTGTCACAAAGGAAGAGACCAGGAGAGGAAGAGACTACAAAAGAGCCAGAAAACAATGGACAAGATGGTAAGTCCCTATCTATCAATAATTACCTTAAATACAAATGGATTACATTCTCTAATCAAAAGGTGTAAAGTGACTGAATAGATAAAAACCAAGACCTAACCATATGCTGTCTATAAAAGACTCACATCAGTTTTAAGGATATACATAGGCTCAAAATGAAAGGATGGGAAAAAACATACCATGCAAATGAAAATCAACAGAGTGGGTAGCTATATCCAAAACATACTTTAAGTATGTTGGGGGAGAAAAGAAGATTATTATTTAATGATAAAGAAGCTGATTCACCAAGAGGCTATTAACATTACATGAAAGCATACACTCAACGTCAGAGCACCTACATATATTAAGTGAATATTAATAGAACTAAAGGAAGAAATAGAGAGCAATGAAATAATAGTAGGGGACTGCAATACCCTTCTTTTAACAACAGATAGACCATCGAGAGAGAAAATTATAAGGAAGAATGGACATTAAATACATTAAATATAAAATGGACCCAACATTAGAAAATACAATATTTCATCCAAAAGCAATAAAAATTCACATTCCTCTTAAATGCACATGGAATATTTTCCAGGACAGAACATATATTAGGTTACAAAACAAGTCTTAACAAATTTACAAGGACTGGTTTATATCAAGTATCTTTTCTGACCATAATGGTATAAAACTAAAATCAACAAGAGAAAGAAAGCTGGAAAATTCACAAATATGTGGAAATTAAACATCAGAATACTGAAAAACCAATCACTTAAAGAGGAAATCAAAAGGGCAATTTTAAATATACTGAGGTAAAAT